CTACGGTAACTACCATGGAGATACCCTGGTAAGATTTTTTTCTATTACGACATCCGTGCATCTTTTTGCACACTTCTAAAACTAGTACATCATTGCTAACTACGAAGTTATTACTATGTTTTTCAACAGATAATCCCGAATGATTGTGTGCCTCATCTGATGTATACGCACGGTAGCCTTCATGTTTTGAACATACAACCAGGTCTTCCTACGAATCTGAACTGTCCATACCGGATTTCTAAAAGAAGTGGAGACATGACAATCAAAGAATGGAAAAAATGTATGGATAGTCGTAAGGAGCTTCTTGGAAGCAAAAAGCAGCGAAGGGCAAGAATTGGAGACAGGATGATCGCCATTCTTCATAATGGAGAGTCAGGGTCTATATTGTTTTATGCTATTTTACCTTAAGGGTGTTTAGGTCATGTCCTACCTGACACTGATGATCATGTGCTAAGAACAATTATGTAGGGTTGGGTTCGATGACTATGAGGATGATGATCGTATGATTTATTATTAATAACGAGTAGAAGTTGTATGATGATGCATGATTAGTAGGACTTGTTATTATATATGATGATGTATGATGCGAGCATGCATGAGTTATTATATCAGAGGGTGAAATGAACATATATAACAGCAGCGTTGGTAAACCAAGGAGAAGATATAAGACAGGACACTTCTCTCTATTAGCTAGCTAATAAAAACCTAAAAATAACCCCCAAAACCCCTAAAGCAGCCTCTTTTCTAAAAAAACATGGACTTTTGGTCCCTGTTGCCACCAACCAGGACCAAAGGCCCCCTGACTGGGCTCGGCGCACAGGGCCACGTGGAGGCACATTGGTCCCGGTTCGTGTTTGAACCGAGACTAATGGGTGGAGGTATTAGTAACGACCCATTAGTCCCAGTTCATGAACTGGGACTAACGGCCCTTATGAACCGGGACTATCAGGGCATGTACAATGGTCGATAAGATAGTCTTATCTTAAGTCTTGCATGTAATTTAGAGATGACAAAAGAAATTATCTACAATGGGTCATCTCTTAGCCTTATCTTCAATAATTAGTTATTCCTAAAAACATGATGAGACATATTGTGCTAAGAGATCATCTCTTGTCTTCTCTTAAATAAGAGAAGACAAGCCTTTTCTTATGGGTTCTCTCTCCTCCACCTCATCATTTATCCTACGTGGCAATCCTAAGATAGCACCATTGTACATGCCCTTAGGTGTTTTTCTACTAGTGATAGTAAGAGTATCTACCAACAGAGGTGGGGGCAGGACCCCACACATCAGAAAAAATAAGCTGCAAAGGCTTAGTGGAAACACTAGTAGACACAGGATATGGCAATTGATGACTTTTTGCTCGTTGACATGGATCACAAATGGTTTCTAAGTTTCTCTCACCAACAACTGGGAGTTTATTTCTACTAAGGATCTGATGAACAATAGAAAAAGAAGGATGACCTAAGCGATTGTTGCACCTTTCAGCAGAAAGTTTGATGGCACCATACACTTGTTTGTTGTTCTGGCAATACTTGGGAAGCAAAGCATAGAGGCCTTCGACACAGACACCCTTATGGAGAACTTTCTTCGTGACCTGATCCTTGATCAAAAAGAAGAATGGGTGAAACTCTAGAAACACATTATTGTCAAGAGCAATACGATGAACAGATAGCAAAGTTTTAGAGGCATTAGGAACATACAAGATGTCATTGATTTCAAGGTTTTTGTGTGGGGTTTTGATAAAAGATTGACCAAGATGACTTATCTCCATACCTGCACCGTTTGCTGCAGTGTAGACTTGATCGTGGCCACGATATTTCTCATGCATAGTCAGCCTGTCCAACTCACCTGTGATGTGGTTGGTGGCACCCGTGTCCATGTACCAGTTGGTATCAACGCCATAAGACACGTCGGCTGCAGCTGCAACTTTCTTTTTCTGGGAATTTTTGTCATTGGCGTAGCGCCAATCACAGTCTTTTGCAATATGGTTTTTTTTGCATATTTGACATTTGTTTTCATACCCTTCATACCCTTGAAAGGGGCACCGATTGTTGTTGTTGTTGCGCCGATTGCAGCCGCCACCACGAGAAGGGTTATGGTTCTGATGAAAGAGTGACCACCGCCACCACCAGAACCCCCCTGATGACCCCCGCTGTTCTGGTGGACGCCATAGCCGCCGCCAGAATTAGGGTTAGGGTAGCCGCCGCCGCCCGCCATGTGGTAGCCACCAGGAGCGCCACCGCCGGATCCACCAGCAGCAGCGTGGTAGCCGCCGCCGCCGCGGGAACCACCACCCCCGCCTTTGCGGTAGCCGCCGTTGCCACCACCGGAACGGCCCCGCGAGGTGATGTTGACTTGAAGCCGCCATTACCAGTGCCATGAAACATCTCCATGCTGATCCAAGTTTGCCACGAGGGAGAAGAGGCCATCGATGGTGATGGGCTCGGTGCGGATGTCGAGAGCAGAGATGATGGGTTGATAGTCCATGTCGAGCCCGGCGATGATGAAAGAGATGAGTTCCCCTTCCCCAAGGGGTTTGCCCGCCGTGGTGAGCTCGTCGGAGAGGGATCGCATCTGGCCAAAGTAGGCAGAGGCGGACATGGAGCCCTTCTGAGCGCTGGTGAGTGCAAAGCGAAGGTTGTTGGCGCGAGACAGCGAAATGGCGGAGAACATGGTGGCCAAGGCAGTCCAGATGGCTTGGGAGGACTCAAGCGAGGCGACTTGGATGAGGACTTCCTTGGAAAGATTGCGCAAGAGATACGCCACGATCTGTTGATCCTGGACGAGCCAAGGGGTATGGGCAGGGTTGGGGGTGACCTGTTCTTTGCCATCTTTGTCTTTGGTGGTGAGGAGTTTGTGAGGCTCGACGGTGGTGCCATCGATGTAGCCATAGAGGCCAGCGCCCAGTATTTGGGATCGAGCTTGAGCTTTCCAGAGAACGTAGTTCATCCGAGTAAGCGGTTCAGAGGTGTTGTAACTGAGGGTGGAGGAGACTACGGTGCTAGAGGAAGACATGGTGGAGAGGATGGATGGCGGTGAACGGAGGAGCGTGGGTTGGGGACGAAGGAGATGGGTAGGTGTCGAGAGGTAGGAGGCACGAGCTAGATGCAATCGGAAGAGCCTGCTCTGTATACCATGTGGAGAATGATAGAAGCGTCTCAATCTCCATACAGGAGACCCGCATGATATATATTGATAGGTGTGGTCGATACAATATGCGGCAGCTCAAGGCTAACCGAACAGAGGAGATTTACAGGGAGGTTTAGAGAGATAAGGAGATAGAAAGATAAATGATATCTCTAACTTAACCTCCCAACTATATTTCCTAATATACGTACATGACATGTCTAACATCAGGAACCCTAGGTAGCTACAGGACCAACACTTGCTGATCAAGCCGCGACGACTCCACTTGACTCGCTAGGTGCATTGTGTGCTTGTGAGTCTTGTGACACGTTGCCACTGTGCGTGTAAGATGAAATCCATGTAACATTTCGAGAAGATATTCGATCATATTCATCTGAGAGAATACGAAATGATACTCATGTGCTTCTTTCCAAATAAATTTATTTATTCAGAGTTTGCGAAATTTTGAATAGAAAAGAAGGCAAGATACAGACTGAATTTGATGTTAAAAAATAACTGATAGTAGCATGCTACGGTAGAGATAAATTTGGGTCATAGTAACTGACAGTCACATTTCTGGAATCCAAATTGAAACAATAAATCACAGCTAGCTAGCAATGGAAAAAACCAAATCTTGGAGCAAACTGGATAAAAACAAAATAGACTAGCGGTGAATATGATGTACGCACCTTATCGATAATAGAAAAGACATGCCTTTGTTGCAGCCAAAGTTGAATCATCAACAGTGAAAAGCCATGTGGAAAACACGAGTTGTTGATCCAAATGCAAATGTGGAAATGGATTGGCTAATAAAACACAAGGACCGGTGTATTCATGTATCAAGACTCAAGTGTTGCATGAGAGGGACTGCTGTATTAATACAAATTAAGGTATGAACCCCTGCATTTATGATTTATTCAGTTGACCGACTCAGCAAGCCGTCACGGCGCACACAATCCGGTAGTCCCTGTATGGCCTTGTGGCAAACAAATTCCACACACGCGTTTGCCCATCCAGGGTCCACGAATGAACGCGTTTGCAATAACGAATTTCACTGTTATGCAAATTGAGAATAACACCTGGTATCTGTCCCTGGTCTGTTTGTATCCCAGTGTCACACGGAACACGAGTATTGCAAGTGCAGTAAAAGCAGGAAAAACAGGTTCAGCCTTTGCTTATGTTCGGTTGAAGGTTGTTCAAGCGGCTCTCATGAAAATAAACAATTGGAAGGAAAAATCATGATTTTACACTTAGAGCAGATTAATGTATATCAAACTATGAGTAAATACGTTTTCAGAACAGCTGACTGAATATGGTCGGGTCCAAATTGTTTTCTTTATTTAGAGTTTGAAAAATCTCCAACAGAAAAAGTTGGCAAGCTAGAGACCGAATTTGATGTTCGAAAGTACTCCCTCTGTCCCATAATATAAGAGTGTTTTTGACACTACAGTAGTGTAAAAAACGCTCTTATATTATGGGACGGAGGGACTAACTGGTAGCGATGTTCTACGGTACACATAAAGTTGGGTGATGGAGGTGAAGATCATTAGAACACCGTAGAAAGCGTTAAAACATTATTGGAACACGAATTGCAATTGGAAATAACAGCTAGTGACTAAAACTGGGACGTTTCCGCAGGCACTTTCTCTGGAACTCATTGATGTCTTCTCTTTTTGTATCATCAGCGGAGCTCTCCCAGGAAATTCAAACTGAGAATGAGGCACATCCAGCACTGCATGGAAATATGAACAGAAACTTTGTGTCATTGAAATCATGGAGCAAACTGGATAAAGAAGAAATTATACAAAGAGAGTACAAGGTAAGTAAATTACTCATATCTTTCATGCATCCAATCTTTATTCAGTTGACCGAGTCAGCAACCCATCACAGCGCATCGAATACCTAAGCCCCCGTATGGGCGTGTGGCAAACAAATTCCACACAGGCGGTTGCCCATCCGGGGTCCATGAATGAAGCTCAACCACCTTTTCATCACCCGAATTGGCTGGAGGCCCAATAACAATCAGCCAGTCACCAAACGCTCGGAAACCCATGTCCCGGCCCTTGTCCTTAGACTGTACAGGCAATTTTCCAAGAGTGATCCACTTGTTGTTTAACTTATCATACTGCTTCAAATCATTATTCTCACTGTAATCAGTGCAATAAAGCTCATTGTTGACGACTGCAATGAGCGGAGGAGCACCCCACAATTCAATGCTGAGCCCCTGAGCCATGTTGTCGATGACCCTCCATGACCGCCGGATCAAGTCATACTGCTCACCGCATGTCAATACCTCAAGCCCACTGGTAATACCACCAATCACATAGAACTTGCCGTCCATGAACGCGCCAGAGCATCCGAACCTAACCCTATTCATGTTGGGAAGGAGTGTCCAAGTGTGTGTCTCTAAGTCATACATCTCTCCGGAGCTCAAGTGTCTATAAGAAGAATCAGCGCCTCCTGCGACAAACGCCTTTTTACCGACACTTGCTGACCCAAAGCAGTACCGCGGGGTATTCATCGCATCAGCCAGCCCTGTCCATGAATTGGTAAGGATGCTATATCTCAAGGCAACCCTTCCGCAGGCCCCAAACACCAGCAGCTCGGTTCCTATGGTGAGCGACTCCCAGATGAAGCTTTGAGCCGGTGGCATCTTGGGAACTTGGATCCAGCGCCCAGTGGACGGGTCATAAGCCTCCCACTCTGGAGGATCATTAATGCAAGAGAGGTAGAGCCAGTGCTCCGCCACCCCACTCTTGCGACGCAGACGGTAGATGTCCCCGTTACGAACCACCGAATTAAAATCACGGTTGAGGGAGGCGATGGAGCCATAGTCCCACCTGGACAGCCGGTGAAGGCAATAGATGAAGAGGTCACCACCTATCACACCAATCATATTGCTCCATGAGACCTCTCCTGACAAAAGTCGACACATTAATTGACGGGTAATAACTTATCACCTGATACTGCAGATGGCAAATTGCCTCTGTAAGAAGAGTATACCTGGAACATGCAGCGGGCAGGAAGCGGACTCCGGTGACAACTCTGAACAGTTAATTTAGGTAGAAGTATTAAAGAGTTACGACAACTATGTAGCTTAGCGCAGGCACTATCTTTTATCACCATCGGAACCAGGATCCACCAGTTGCACATCAATTATAGGATTGCTCGGATGATTACTAACTACGCCAATCCTGGATACATACTTCAGATCAGCAGCTGCACCCCCAAATTTTGCAGAGACCTCTCTAAGGCCTGTCATATGGTCGATTCTGATTAATGCTGTACCATGTCGATATTGTTTCCACTTATCACGCTTTGAATAAAGATCAAGTCGTTGGTCCACCATTTGGGGGATGGCGTTGAAAACGAGCCTGAGCTTCCAGAGATTTGGCATTGCATCCGCCTCAAATCTTAGCCAAGCTATTCCACTCATGAACCTCAGCTTGAAGTACTTGAGAGCTGTGAATCCAGCCGCCTCGTCAAATATTATCTTCATATTAGGCGACGTCTCCACATACAAGGACAGAGCAGTGAGGGCAGGCAACCCTCTAAGAATATCAACATCATTTACTGACAGTCCATCCACTGCAATCTTCAGAATGCATAGGTTGCCAAGTTGTTTCTTCCACAAATGCATAGCACCAAATGTGACGGGGCTATGAGGTGAAACCTCTAATATCTGGAGATGATGGGCAGGTTTATTCAATACCCACGAAACAGTTGCTTTTGAAGCGTCACCATAGCTAACCGAGGATCCGTGAGCCACCAGTTTTACTATTTTCAGGTTGTCATGTTCATACATTAAGTAATCCAGAGCATACATGCTTCTCTCTAGATGGTCAGAATCTGAAGAAGGCGGTGTAGAAATGCAAAGATCCTGCAGGTGGTTCGGCTTGCAAAGGCTCAGATCGTCACCGAAAGACCAATCCAGCAGATTTGTGTCAGGAGGAAGACTGAGGTGCAGCAAGCGTGTGAGATATATAATGTCCCATGGAACATAAGTGCCTCTTGGTGTATCCATAACATCTAGTGTTTCCAAACACTGCAGCCCTCTCATACGGTTTGGAAGTTTCATGCAGACATCACAAACAATCTTCAGATATCTCAGATGGAACAGTTCTGATATTCTGGTCTATGAACCGGTCTTGCTCACCATGACAATGACTGGACAGCTGAAGATTTAGAACACGAACAAGTTTGAACTCTCCGATACAAGGCATACACTCTGATACTCCAAAATATCCAAGTGACTGTACTTGTGCCTTTATGATGTTTGCTGGTATCTGGGCATATTTTGCATCACCAAGTTGGAGAGATAGACGACGGACCTTCTGAGAAAGTGCCAAAATCTTTCGATCGTGATCTACTACCACAACAAAATTCTCTTCTGCAGACTTGTGTGCAATAAGATCATGAACCATGTTCTGAACTGTGCAGGACACCACCTCATTGTTGAAGTTGATAGACACAGGTTGGATGAATCTTCTATCAACTAGTTCATCGAAATACATCCCTGCAACTTCTTCCATATTCTGCCCTTCACTTGCAGCAAGAAACCCTTCAGCCACCCATTGCCTGACCAGGTCATGTTTGAAGATTACGGAGCCCTCTGGATACATACCAAGTTGGAGCAAGCATGTCTTGAGGTAATGAGGAAGGCTGTTGTAGCTGAGGTTTAATACTTGTCTCGTTCTTTCTGAAGTTGAATTTGACGACAAACAAGACACTAACGAATCATGTATGTGTGTCAATAAATCCACTGATACAGAAGGCTGGTTTGCTAAAAGGCTTGCTATGCTGATGGTGGCTAGCGGCAAACCACCACATATTTCCACAATCTGGCTTGAAACTTGTTTCAATTCTTTAGGACAGTTACTTTGAGAACCAAAAAGCCTGTCAAAGAATAGCTTCCTTGAGTGATCATCATCCAAATGATTCATCTCAAAAACTTGTTCTGGGTCAACGCAGCAACATGCTAATGCAACGTCTTCAATCTGTGTAGTTGTTATTATTCTGCTTCCTTGACTACACTTTGGGAAAAGCTGATTAATAACATCCCATGCTGCCGTATCCCATAAATCATCAACAACGATTAGGTACCTGCATGTCAAGAATGCACGCATGTCACATTTATGCGTCAGGCTAACAGTAACAACAGTTAGATACGCTAGAAAAGAATGAATTTTTGGTCCATACATGTCCAGGACTTATGGTATTAACCTGAAGTTAAATGTTACTACCGGCATCAAGTTAGTGCTTACTTTAGAAGTAAAACTAATGTCGTTGACTGGACAGGCATGTACTATAATGCTTACTATCAAGCTTTTTCAGCTCACTGTAAAGCTTGTCTGAAAAACATCTTTTCAGAAATTGACTATATATCATCATGCCTTTTTTTGTGAAATACAACTAGTACATACTATTTGCATGTGGAAAATAAGTACCTCTTGGCATGTAGATAATTCCTGATATTTTCAGCAGTAATGTGAAGTTCATCAGAAGCGTCTTCGCTTGCTTGGGGATGCTTTCGCTGGATTTGTGAGAGCATGTCGCGGAAAAGCCTTTTCATATCAGGCTTTTTGGACACCTGGATGAAAGCCCGACAATGGAATTGCCTCCCCCAATTTATTATACAACACTTTGGCAAGCATTGTTTTACCAAGACATCCAGATCCGTGAATAGACACCACCCTGAGCTGCTGATTCTCATCATTAGCCAGCTGGGAGCAGATAAACTTGCTCATTCGATGATCAATTGCTAGGCCGGAACAAGTTTTCTCACAAGACGGTGGCGGCATTGGCATCATAGGCCCAATGGCCGAAAATCTACTTTCCACCGAGGTGCTACAACAATGGACCTGGTATCTGTCGTACCGTCGAACCACCTCCTGGGTGTAAATCCTAAATTCTGATACCTTTTCAACGATCTGTTGGTACCACTTGAGCCTCCTGGGAGCACAAATTACATCAACACGGATGGTTTTGGAGATAACATGTCCTGACACATCAGGAGCTGCATATTCAATCTGTTTCTGCCACTTGAGGTTCTTGGGAATCTTAACATGAGTCATCTTGTGGTCAAATTTGTAGCCAAGAGACTGATCAGGGGGCACAAAGTTGTCAATACAATCTAGGATGTCATAAGATAACTCATGTGCCTCTTTCATCCAGCACTTGGCCGCCAGAGGAGGGTCCTCCACCTCTAACAGATCTTCAAGGTATGTGGCTATTTCTTCAAGATCATCTTTGAGGAGCTGCGACCTATCATTGACCCCCTTGGTCAGCTTGCATCCATGAGGACCTAGCATCATGTCAAGCTTCTTAAGAAGGGGTCTCATGGCGCCCAGAGAAACACTGAAACTCGCATCCATCTCTCTGCCTCTACCTCCCACTGAAACATCTAAAAAGAAACATAGACAAGAAAGAACGATTTAGTTTACACAAGCAGATGTGGCATGTAATACAAACTAACAGAAGAAATGAGCTGCGCCTACTTTATTTTAGATATAAGTAATACTGCCTATAGCACAACAAGATCGAGTTATGTCAGCATTAAGAAAAGGAAACGGCTCTCTAAGCAAGTTCAGTCTCGGGGTTTTTCATTTCCTTTTGTGATAGAGGGATAGGAATGATAGAAAGGAAGTGTCACCTTGGGTTGGATAAAAAAGGACAACCCTCTCAAACTGTATATATGCAGTGCTAATGCTTCGGCATGCACTACGGTGCATTGCATTCTTCTCCCCCCATCACAAAAACTTACTACCTTTCTACTTTCTTCTCTGTTTTTTGTACCGCCGCTACAAAAGGAAATTTCATGCCTAAGCCGAGCCTACCTGCCGTGCCATCCCACGATGCTTGACGTGAGCTAGGTGTGCGCACTTGCCGCGATCACCATGGCATGCCATCCCATTGCCAGATCAAAGCTCACCTATTCAGCTAACTAACTAAAAGGAGAAATCAGCTCAACCAAGTAATGTACAGGCACATGTCCTGCCCGTTGAAGATAACAGCAGGAGGATTTAGGCTAACATCATGGAGGGTTGGGTGCATCATTGAATGTAGAAAGAATGATTACATGTAGTAAAAGTAGTACATGAAATATCAGTCTCGGGGTTTTTCTTTTCTTTTTTTAGTAGAGGGATAGGAAGGAAGGAGAGAAAGGAAGTGTCACCTTGGGTTGGATAAAAAAGGACAACCCTCTCCTCCTCCTGCTGCTTCTCCTCAATAATGCCACTTACAGGATCCAGCATCTTGTTGTTGCGGGACTCGCTGCACTTTGGGCATGGCACGGAGCCGACCCTCCTGCAGGCTTGGCAGACGAAGGCGGGGCTCGGCCTTGGGGCGTCGTCGAGGAGAGGCTGCAGCCCGCCGGCCTTGTGCAGCTGCCTAACATCGTCAGGGCAGCCGACGAGCCGGCCGCCGATGAGGAGCTGCGGGAGGGAGAAGGCGCAGCCCCGAGCCGCGAGCAACGACTTGAGCTCGCAGCGGTGCGCTTTGCTCCTGGACACGTCGCGCACGTCCACGGCCAGGCCGTAGCCGCGCAGCAGGGCGCGCAAGGCGTAGCGGTCGGCGGAGGTGCGCGCTCTGCGGCGCGACGCTGAAGCTGACGCCGTGTAGAGAAGCACCTCCGGCTGCAGCTCCTGCTTGCTGTGTGGCCCGGACGAGGAGCTGCCGCCAGGATCACCCATGTCCGGCGGCCTCATCCGAAGAAGAGTGTGGCTATGGTTAGGGCGGGTGGAGTGCGGGAGGATGCCTCGGTCTCTCTCTCTCTCTCTCCTCTTGTGGTTCATCTCCTTACATTGTCACATCACATGCATCGCACTGGCCTGTGCCTCTACTGTCGAGCCTGCCTCTTGTTAATTCCTCGTATGCTATGCTAGGTGCTCACACCGCCTTGTTAATTACCTTGGCTTCTCCCGCTCACACTACATAGTTTCAAACACTGGAATCTGATTGAACAATCTCATTGGATTCTTATCTTCTCTGGATTCGAAAGAGTAGTAGTACTT